TGTYATTTTTTCTCTAGCTATCAGGACAAAAATTACAAAAACCAAAAGTGAAGTTAGTTGCCTAAGGCCCGTTTTACATTTTTATGTCAGTCAAATGACAAATCGTCGAAAATTCCGTGTCCGTCAGTGTATTATTGGTAAATATTTATTATCAGTTATCACGTAATCAGATCATAGAAAGAAACAAAAACTATCCATTATAAAAAATAAATATGACATAAGTACCTACTAACACAATGAAAAACACTCAAAACTCGGGACCCCTCCATTGATAAAAATATTGCGTGTTAAATGAATGAACGTACAAACTTAAAACCGCAGAGCCAACTTTGATATTGACGCTTGAATACTTTTTGAATTAGTTTTGCAGCCACTTAACGGTAACAAATTATGCAAATGACGTCACCATGACAATTGTGGGTAATCAAGGAAATAAATTAAAAATGTATTTTGTTCCGCATTATTAAAACAAAAAAAGGTAACAAGAAATACGCAAAGCGGTAAAAATTCATACAATTATCTAACTGATCAAGGTCCCAGTCGGTAAATGTAAATAACAAAATAAAGGTAAAAAATATTTACAGTAATAGTTGTTAAAAAAAATACAATTTTTTGCTTATAAATATTCAAAATGGGAGTTTACGAGTTAGAAGGCCATCCGGGCCCTATTTTTTAAATTGTTATATTAATTTTGTATTTTCAAAGGTTAAATAAAGCCCTAAAGTTTGATTTCCTCGTAAAACCTGGGCCATAAAATGAAAAATCAGTGTTCGCCGCGATTTAATAATTCCATATCGTAATGAATCGAGTTAGGTAATTACAGGTGATAAAGCCCACCTGCGGCCTTAATAACCGTGGTGTTAGTACCGCGTTTAAGTTTTGTGTGGGTTCCCCGCTATGCAAAAAGGGAAACATAATCTTTGCAGCACTCATCGGCCACATGTCGGTCGCGTGTCCCGAAGTCCACCAAGTGGCACGTGCGACTCATCTGCTAAGGCCTAGGTGGGGCTTCCATCTGCCCAAAAGTCTGAATTTTTCTTCCGTCGCGGTGGAACACCGGTTGAATAGGGACGACGTCCCTGCCGCCATCCCCCCGGCGATGATTACGGCGGGAGCGGCCCGCCCTCCCCGCTCTAATCATGCTGAGTGCCGGCTGAATGGGACGCCGCCCCCGCACACGCATCATCGACCGCCGCCTCATTTGCCTGCAACCCTAAAGGACTAATACACACATGTATCGATGTGCCCTCGGTGGGGCATCTAATAAGGCTAAAAGCTCCAGTTTAACACGTCGGAGCTTTGTTACGGAATTATGCAAGATTACGGCCGATTGGGCTTTCGCGCGAGATTATAAACAATAATCGATTTGTCATCAATGTCTTTATATTTTTTTGTATTTTTTTAATTGTGTTGTGCTTTAATTAATTAAAAAAATAAAACAAAATCGATATGGTTGTCGTCCCACAGTGTTTTGACTCTGGGGAAGTTTGTTTTCCGCCCGGAAATCAAACTACTTTCTAAATAATTAAAACAAGCAGTTTTAGGTAATTGGAGTTTAGTTCAAGGCCGGAAAATGCTCTCTGGGTCAAATATTTCAATTACTGGGTGAAGTGAAAAAGGAAGGGCAATGAATTTTGAAGCTATTAAGACAACAAGAGTTTTATAGACAGTTTAAAAATCGAGGTCGTAGTTTAAATACGAGTGAGAGTTTAATAGACCAAGATTTTTAAACTATAAAATAAAACTTATGTTGAAGAAGAAAATATGTAATATACAAATTTCGTATGTAAAATAGTACATTACAAGCGAGGTGGTAAATGCAGACTGAGTCACTTATAATAAAGACCCTAACCGATTTTTAGACGCAACCCAAAATACATTCTCAGATACCACTATACGTTAATTGATATYCTGTTTGAAAATTTTCAAAGATGTAAACCTAGATACCTGTAATAGCTCTGAAAATTTTGATAAATTGGAATCTTACGGAGTACCTTTGACGGTACAGATTCAGCCACAGCAGGGTCTTATGGTATTACCCCGAGTGCTTATGTATACGAGAGGATAAAGCACAAGAAGTAATGTCATTACCACCGAGGTTTGTATGCTATTTTATTCACAATCACATTAGTTTTAGTCAAAAATTTGAATAAAATAAAATTGTAACAAAGTTAAGGTCCAAACGTGGTAGGACATCCAAACGGCGTTTGATTTTTGACATTTCAGAAATGTCAAGGAAAATATTGAATTAATGTGTGAATCAGATTTCAAATCGTAGAAATGGAGCAGTGTGCTTCCCCAGAGGTAAGAGAAACTGCTACAAAAGCAATTGAATACTAATTCAGCAAAATATTATGCATAACTTGACAATTTGAAAGAAAAAATTTTTGGTGTATTTTTGTAATTTTAGGGTTGGCTATCCTGCATATTACCGCCCAAAAGAAGTAATAGGTATTATTACTCCTCATGAGATTTAATGATGTGTTTTCCTATCTTTAAAAGGTTAGTAATCGGCATATTACATTAGTGATTGTGAATAAAAGGATTTTACAGCGCTCCAGCTAAATCYTATWTTACATTATTCTGTTGTACAGTTGAAGACAAAATACTTTGGTCGTCAATGTCACTTGAGTGACATTAAATTGTAAAACATGCTTTAGGACTGTTAACCTTATTTTTAGCTACTGTCAATCATAGTTGACAAGGTGTACATATTTTTCATAGGAAAATATGATAGCTGTCACTAATTTCAAATTGTTAATTGTTAATTTAAGGTTAAAGCTTGAATTACATTAAAGTGTCAGAAAAGTGACGACCAAAGTATTTTGTCTCCAACTGTAAATAACTATTACTTTTTTACTAAGAGAATTGTRACTGTACGTTGTTAAAATTGTAATAAGGTGGCGGCTATTTACTTAGAACACTTTAAGCAAAAGCGACAGTAATTTACATTTTTTTGAGTGCTTGAAAATCATTTTAATTTTTATTAGGGAAATTCTGAAAAATCGTACCTACATTCTTAAATAAACCGACAAAATTTTATCACAGTTTCCCAAGGATAAATGGAGACAAACTGTACAGGTTTATGACTTTTAAGGATTAAACAACCTTGATCCGTGCCACTTACGGCGTTTATGAATTGTTGCAATGATAAGTGACGTCGAAAATAACTTTAATAAATTTTATTTTGAGAACGGTTAAACAAAGAACTTTTTAAATATTTTTTTAAACTGTTCTCATTTGATACTACTAAGGATAAAATTTTCTTGATCTATTTAAGAATCACCCTGTATTTGGACTGAAATTTTGTTGTTTTTAAACGTTTTTATTTTTTGTCAAAAAGAGAGATCATCAAGTGATCCGAATTATTTTTTTTATACAAAATTCAAATTTGATCTATCTAGATTTGTAGATGCTCTTCTACCGTGAGGAAAAAAAAAAACATACCAAGAAGTTTATTTTTTAGATTATTGCAAAACCAAATTTAGATTGAAACGTGAAGGTTATGAAATGAAAATCATTTTTAATAAATGAAAAAGTGTTTCGTTAACGTGTTTTACGTGAGATATTGAGGATGATATAAAAGATTACACAGGATGTTTCGTTTTTATTGTTACAAATTTGAACAGGTGATGCAATATTCAATTTTAAGATAAAAGTTTCCTATGAAYGTATATCGAAAAATTTTATCCAAGTTTGAAAGGGGTGGATTTTTTCCAATATTTCAGAAACCATTGTAGATAAAATTACAAAATTTGGCACAACTATAACCTTTATATACCCAAATGAATTCAAAGATAAAATGACGAAATTTTTACTCATGAGTGTCCTAAACTGGGGGGGTTTAGGGTAAAAAGTACCCTAACTATTTTGGCTGTTGTTTCTTGCCACTTTCAGCCACACAATTCTAAATTCCATAGTTTTTTACAATAAAAGGGTCTCTTGCGTTTTTTCGATACAACTTACCGTTTTTGAGTAAAATCAGTTTACAAAATGTGTTACAGACCATAAAGAGGATAAAAATTAAATTTGTTTTACCATTTAAGACGCCCGTGATTAAAAATTTCGACAACTCATCTTTGAATTCGTTCAGGTGTGTAAAGGTTATCACCTGTACCAATTTTTGTAATATTATCTATTCTGCAATAGTGGGAAAACCCCATTAAAAAACGCGTCTCTTTCATGGGATGTAGCACGCATTACATTACATTTTTTGATACATGTTCATAGGAAACTTTTGTCTTGAAATTGAATATTCTATCACCTGTTTAAATTTGTAACAATAAAAACAAAACACCCTGTATATAATTTAATTTAATTTTATGACTAGGAAATTGAATGGTCGAGTACAAATTTAAAACTCCAGAAATTTACATACTAATGCTGTAATAAAAATGATGTTAATAATAAAGTGAATACAATGAGAATTATGAGATTATTTTATTATCTTTTCAATTGTTTCACGGAAGCGTGTCATATAAAATGAAATGAAAAAGATACGATTTATACTTTAGTCAGTGAAACAAACTAAGCATAATATTGCAAAAATAGTTTAGAAATTTAATACTCGTACTTACTTTTTACAAAAATACTGTTGTCCTTTCAAAAATAAAAAAAGCAATAACGAGAATTAAATAAACACACTTGAACACCCTTCATAATAGCTCTCAACTACCACCGGATCTCTGGCCCACCCCCTTTTAAAAATCAAAAAACCGGGCAAGTCCTGCGGCTCTCGTCGATCATCTCCAATTACACATCTCTCGATCACACTTGTGCCGTGTTTGAGTCGCTTTTTAAGACACGTGTCGTTTGGTGCATCCACGTGCCCGGACTACTCCGGTTACCGTAAAGCAACAGTAGCAGTTCACATGGGAAATCTGTTTAATCTCCCATCCCGACCTTAATTAGGTTAGAATTGATGCGCTTTTGGCTGCCAAATCGATTTCCCGTAATGAAGACAAGCAGCGACGGCTGCGGCCGCTAAAAGCTTTGGTTACCTTCGAGCGCCTTGTTGCGGGCCAGCAGTGCGAGCAGCACCTCGGAGTTGGGGGGGCCGTCCATGGGGGGCATGCTGGGGGGCATTCCTTGGATCAAAGGTAGCCCTCGCGACTGCTCCAGAATGGACATAGTCACAGCACTTTTTCGCGCACCGAGGGGTCTAATCTCCGATCCGGGCGATGGCGGTGATTTTTTCCGGCATTTTTTACACTGCGACGATCATTTCCGGACGTATGGCTCATGTAGGTTATATTTTTCAATTTGCGTTAACTTAGTCGGCTCCGTTTAATTTCACTAAGTGTTTCACCCCGAGCCCTGAGATTCACTGTAGTAAAGGAGTCTGTCTATTTCGCTCCCTCTACCCTTCTACCAACGACGCCATTATTGAAATCAGTCTTGATTATGGAGGTGTGACGTCACGAGACGGCGAGCGTCGGCGCGAAACAGGGACACTCCCTCGCAGGACGGCCTTTGCAGGATCAGGAATTGTAGGAACGTAGCAGGGGACTACAAGAATGGAATATGTTCGAAAGGAGCCAAGTTGGGCATTGGACAAGAGTTTTTTCTAAATTGAAATTCGTAAGTTGTATACACGAATTCAAATCTCTGGAAGGCTATTCTTACTCGCAGCAGGAATATTTCGCATATTTATTCTTTAAGTAATTAAACTGCCTTCAAAAGAAGCCTGTTTCAAAGTTGGAAAATAAATTTGACTTTAAATGAATATCAAAGATTTTATACAAATATTGAAAGATTTTGATTATACAGAGTGGTTATAAATGATTTTCATCTAGCCAGCTTTAGAATTTTTTTGTATGTAACTTTATTTGTGCCGCTCAAAAGCTGAAAGCTCTAGTTCTGTCATTAGTGTCACTTATTAATTAATAATAAATTGTTGTTGATTAAACTTTTATTGTTTCAACTAATTTCCATTAATAATGTAACTTTGGAAGAAAACAAGTTTATAATTGAAGTCTATTTTCGAAGTGGATGCTTAGTAAACGGCAGTAAACAGCAAGTATAAGTTAACCTCATTTTTTACTACTGTCAACAATTTTCACTGACTGTCACTATCAGACTCTTCATTGCATATTTTTGCATATTTTTGACAAGAGAAAAGTCAATAATTTGAAATTGTTATCAATGCGAATGTAAAAAATGGCATTATCTCCGCTTTAAAAATCGGACGTTCGAAAAACTGTTCTTGACCAAAATTTTTGTACCTACATTATTTGAGCATTAGGTATTTTACAGCGTTCAGTTTTAAGAAAACACTCAGGTTCGCGTTAAGTTTTAATATTAAAACTTCTCGCAGTAAAATTATATCTACCGCACTTTACTACATATTTATTTTAAAAACATTATTTTATTACATATCAAATCTCAAAAAGAGTTCAATTGACGTATCTTTAAAACCTTGAATAATATTAATTATACTATTGTTTAAACCTAGACTTATACATACTTCACTTCACTAAATTTTGCTAGGTTATTGATTTACTCGTACTAGCTTACTAACTTTTGAGAAAAAACAAAGTGTTTTTTTTTGTACTTCAGTAACTTTTATAATTTAGATAGTTATAATTATTACACCTTTTAT